CTGTATCAAACGGGATACATACTTTTATGCTTTTTGACACACATTGCCAAGTAGCTTTTCATAGGCGATACATTCATTTGTCTTACCATTAGTTGTGTATGAAAGTACCCCTTCCACCAAACCCCTTCCAGGAGGGGATATCCCACTGCTAAAATTTACCCCTAAGACTTTATAGGTCAATAAATGGTTCCTTTATTTATCCCACAAAAATTTACTGTGGGTCTGTTAATGCCTGTGGGGCAAGAGCCATAAAGATTTTCAGCCCTCACAAGATTCCCAGTATAAAGGGAAATAATATAAACCAGAAACTACAGTACTTTCTGAAATCCCCAAGTTTGAGACCATTGATTAAGTTGTGGTGAGTTAGGGTCCCCTGCTGAGAGGAGACCGCCTTCTTCATGACAGGCTCACAGGAAAAGTGATTCATTTTCTGGCTAACTGCTACATGCCCGCACTGCTGCACTAGCAAAGAATATTGGTTAAATTAAATTTTAAAAATTATGCCCCAAAACTTCTGAATTGAAAAAAATTACCATAAGAAAAGTCAAAAGATAAATGCCAAATAGGAAAAATATTTGAAATATGTAACAGAGGCAAAGAACTGATATATAAGAGCACTTAGGGAGAGCATCAAGAAGACCAACAACCAATAAAGAAAATGGACAGAAGACATGAATAGTTCACAGAACAATAAATACAAATGGTCCTTAAACATATGAAAAGGCGCTCACTACAGCAGGGGATGGCACACTATGGCTCGCAAACCAAGCCTGGCCAGCTAGTGGCGTTACTGGCACTGAGCCACGGGCATTCACTGATGTTTTCTCTGGGCCTGCCTTAGCCACACTGCGGAGCTGAACAGTTAGAACAGGGACCCTACAGCCTGCAAAGCCGAAAGTCTTTACGATCTGATCCCTTTACAGAAAAAGCTTGCTGACCCGTGACCTAGAAAAAGAGAAATTAAATGACATTTGAATGTTATTTTTCTTCCATCAGACTGTTGAAAATTCATCAGTCTGAAACTACATTTGCAGGACCTTCTCATACTTCTTATAAAGAGTAAACTGATAAAACACTTTAAATGGCAATTTGGTAATATTTATCTTTTTAAAACTTTTATTTTAGTTCATCTTCACTGGAGTATATTTTTTCCATTGCTTTTTTTAAATTAAATTTTAAAAAGCGGTCATTCCATTTAAATTTTCCAACAACCTTATTAGAAGTTATTGTGGTTATTATTATTAACGAAATAAGCACTTTCATTAGAAGTTATTATAGTACGATCCCAAGGGGTAGCTTGCAAATTGTTGAAACAAGAAATGCTAGCTCCTCCAATCCATGTGCTAAGATAGAGGGAAACAAAAAGTTGTGTATGGAGAACACAGATGGGCCCCTGCGCCAAAGTGGGGAGTGAAGGGAGAACATGACTCTGAGAGAGTTTTGAAGACTGGGAGCCAGTTAGCCGGCCCAGGCCTGGAGGGAAGAATTCTTGAAAAAGAAAATGATTGTGCAAAGCAAAGAGGCGAGGAAGGCTCTGGCAAATGGTTTAAAGGGACTAGAGTGAAGCCTCGGTCAGGGAGGGCTATAACTAAATAAGGGCATGGAAATGTCAAGGTCAGACACGAAAAGCTCTGGGAAGGCACAAAACAAACCGCTCAGATTGGAGTGCCTCAGACCACCCCCAAGCCTTTTCTCCCCGGCTTGCCTCCACTCCAGAGCATGTTCTTTCAGCTCCAGCACTATTGATACCTTTAACCAGTTAACGCTTTGGTGTAGGGGGTTGTTAAGTGTTTCGATACCTGCTAGATATCAGTGGCAGCTCCAGTTGTGACAACCTACAATGTTTCCAGACATGGCCTAGAATCCCACAGAGGGCAAAATCACTCCTGGTTGTGAACCACTGGTTCGGAGGTTAAAAAAGTGAAAGTTCTCATTTTTCCTGCCTCTCTTGCAGCTAGAGATGGCCATGTGACATAGTTCCTGCCAGTGAAATATCAGAGCAGATTGACTGGAACATATTTGCTTTTACTGCCTTGTTTTGCTCTTGAATGAAGACAACAGCAGCAGCAACAGCAGCAGCCACGAGATGACAAGCATAAAAGACCGTGAAAACCACACTGAAGTTCATCCCTACATAGTTGAGTCCGTGGACGAATGCTAGCAAGCACCTACCTCCAGACTTCTTGTTTTGTGGGTAAGATAACGCCCCCAAGTTAAGGTTTTCTTTTATATGCAGCTGAAAACAATTCTATAATTGTGAAATCACACAAAAGTTTTTGGGTTTTATCGCAGAGATAGTGAGGATCCACTAAAGGTTTCTAAATAATAAAAAGAATTGGGTTATCACACCTACATTTTGAAAAGATCATTTCGCTACAAAATACAATTATGAAACAAGATTGGAGGCAGGTGTCCTAGGAAATGCCATTCTGGCCAGGCAGACAAAAACACGATGGGGACTGAACCATCTCAGGAGTGGTGAGAATAAAGTGGAGAGGATACATTCCAGAAACATTAAGAGGCAAAATAGACCAAGCCTAACCAATTGGATAGAAGACGTATCAAAGGCTAAAAATTAAATTTGTTGTTAGGTAATGTCCTAGATGGTACACAAAAGAAGGAGCATGTTTAAAGAGAAGAACAATATTCCATTCTAGGCTAGTTTGAATTTCAAATGCTTATGGCACATCCAACTGGTAATGTAAATGGCAATTAGATACACAATTTGAAAGTCAGGAAAGAGAAAGATAGCAGTAATTTTAAAAATATGTGTATGATAGAACTCAAAAATTTAAGTGCCAATAAAGTAATATCACTTAGGACTTAAGTAGTATCAATGAAGTATAGGATACTTAAAATATAGCTCAGAAAAGAAAATGAAAAATACACAGACAGATACTCACACAAACCCAGCATCCAGGTATAAATTACAGTAAAATGTGGTTACATATACATGTAAACACACACACATAAATGGTATTATACCTCAAATGCTGAATAACAGGCTTTATTCAGTTAACAACATGTCATAAACATCTCTCTACTTCCATTAATATTCACTCAATTTTCTGATGTTTTTAATACTATAAATAGTTCTGAGATCAATTGTCCTCATGATAAAATTTTTGCCCATATTCCTAATTGTTTCCTCAGGATAAGTTCTGAGATGTGGAATTGCTTGCTCTATGGTATATGTGTTTTTAAGGCTTTCTTTTGACAGATTCTCCTAAGTCATTCTCTAAACAGGTTATTGAAATTTACAATCCCATCAGCACTACATACGAGTACTCATCTCCCCACACTTTCCCCAAAAAAGAAGTTAAATACTTAATCACTCAAACCTTTGAAAAATTTGTAAAATAAAATGTTAATCTGATTGATGTTTTCCTTCTGCATTTGTTTAAGTGCTAGAATTTGAGCTGTTGGTGTTTTATCGGCCATTTGTATTTTTTCTTTGGTAGACTGCTGTTTCTTGTCCTTTGTCCCCTTTCCTTTTGGTATATTTACCTCTTATTGATTTGTAAGAGCTCTTTATATGCTAGAAACTTTAACCCTTTGTCAATGCTACCTTTCTTAGTTTGCATTTGCATTTAATTTGGTGGTTTGTTTTCATCAGCAGATACTTGAAAGTATTGGAATGTTCATGGTTTTGAATTGGCTATTGTGAAGAATGGGAACAGGATGTATCCAAAAGCAACAGAGAGACTGAAGCTGATTTGAAAGGCTCAGCTGAGGTTGGACACCATGCATTTTTAATGAGGTCAGTCTGCAAAGCTGGACCAGCGTTTGGTTATCTGAGTGCAGAGGGAGAAAGGGGAGAAAGTAAGATTCACGCAGAGTTTGTATTTGCTTGATTTAATCAGACCCTGCACTAAGGAATGAGGGAATTATGCGTATGAGCAAGTTTGTTGCTGAAATAATGGATCACATGGGGCAAGATAAGAGATAACGGAAGTGCTGGGAAGGGTCAGGGCTGCCCTGTAGTTGAAAGCCAGACACAGCAGAATGAGATCCTGAGAAAGCTACAAGGTTAGGAAATGTTCTACAATTTCCTTCCAGCAAACTTTTCCTATTGCTTCTGCTCCATTTATTCTCTTTCTTCTTTTAAAACATCCATCACATTTACCATCACATTTTACAGCTTCTTTATTCATTTCCTTTACAGTCAGGCAGTGTTCCCCATCAAAATCAGAATCGATGTTCACCCATCGCATCTATTGATCGGACTGAGCACATTTTATTTCAGCCAATCAATATTCCATGGCCCTGCATCCTCTTTTTATCTTAGCCCATACTTACTTAATAGAAGCATTGTCTTCCTGCCTCGCAAGCAATATTTAATTCCAGAATATGGGGTGGGAAGGAGAAAAGTTGAAAGAGAGCAAAACAGGGCTGAGCATCCTTTCAGCCTTAATAAGATCACAAGACACCCGGTAAACACCAAGCCATTCAATGAGTTACCACGCTCGGTGGTCACAGCTCAGGGTCATGCTGGCCAACATGGAAGGCCGCCAGGAACCTCCTGTGCCGAGAGGAGTTCCAAAGTCCAGCACCCTGCCTCCTCTCACCAGAGGTATTTTCTTGCAACAGCTGATTTGCAAGTGTCCTTTGAGGCTTTGAAAACTCCAGACCCTTTCTGACAAACACTTCATTTCGGGGGTGTCTTCACTATAGAGTTGAGGAACCACATGCAAGTGCTTGTAAAAACACCATACCAGAGTTTCAAACATCGCTTTTCCAGCCCCAGTGTCCTCTTTCCCAAAAGAACCTTGAAGCAAGAGCAAAGCTGGGATTCCTCTGGTGGTGGGTGCCAGGGAAGAGAGGCCCCAGGCACTGAGCTTCCTTCCGGAGGGAGGCAAGGAGCTGATTGAGGGCCCAGGTCTTTGCATCTCAAAACTCAGCGCAGTAGAGCCGCTCTGCTCCCATGGCACAGCCTTTCTCTCCTGCACGCGCCCTGGCCCCAGCCCTCAGCTCCAGCCCCGCTGAGCCCGGAGAGCTACCTGAGACAAAGGAGTAGGTGGCCAGGATGCTGCTGAGCAGAGCCATATCCATGCGCTGGGCGGTCAGAGGCTCCGTGCTGCGGAGGACGGGCGGCCTCCACGTGGCATCCAGAGGCGCCTCCCAGGGATGCTTCGGCTGGATCAGTGTGGTCCCTCCCTCTCTTCTCTTCTGTTTGGGAACACAAAGTGAGTGGTGAGACCACGCTCCGCTTTCTTGAGGCTGTGCTCCAGGTAGCCTGGGCCCCACACAAAGAGCTAGCCTCCTCAATGCCAGCCAGCCTCCCACCAGGCATCTAGGCCCTGTCCTCTTTGCTCTGGAGAGCTTCTTGGTTTTCCCGGAAGGAACGCCTCCTTCCACCTCTGTTTTTCCTGGCCTCTCTCCTTTCTCTTCCCTGTATCTTCCCAACGTTACATGTCCGCACTCCTCCCTCACCCTTTCTGGTACTTTTTACTGTATTCTCCCTGTTTGCCTTTGCCCACGGTCACTTTAATCACTGCCTTGTCGCCCTATGCCCAGCTGGCCCTCCGCCTGGCTCTGCTTTCCCCGCACCCCCGGCGCCTGTGTACTTTGATCCGCTGGCCTCATCCCACAGATCACCAAGTGTGTGTCCTTGGCAGTGAGTCTGAGCTGGCTGCTCCAGGCCTGCCGAAGTGGTTCCCGTTGTAAAATGCACCAAGAAGTTGGGGGCTAGGGCCGGCCCACGTGTTCATGATTCCACCTGTAGTGGGACGAGGCTATTTCAGATCCGTTCCCTCCTATCTCTCCTCATTCATTCTCCGTAGAGCAAATCTCATCATTTCATTTCTGGGAGTTGTGCACCCATCTCCTCCCTTTGGCCAACACCTACTTCCTGCTCAAACTAGCACCCGCTCTCACCAACAGGGTCATCTTGATACTGTGTAAATCTGACCACTTCGCTCCATAGCCCAACCCTTTAAAGAATCCCCGTTACACTTAATACAGCACACACCCACTTCCACACAAAATCTGATCCTTACCTCAGCTCCCAATTCATCTCCTAACCAGAGTCTACAGCTACACACATATATTCAGAGACACAAGCATGCCTAATGCTTCAAAAATATCATATTTTTTAGTGCCCCAAACACATCAAGCCCTTTTATTTTTTTAAGCATTTGATTGTGCTCTTCCTTTGGCCTAAAATGCCCACCTCCCCTGTCTGGCAAATGTTTCCTTTAAGAGAGAATTCAAAAGTTCTGTGGCAGTCCCCAAATACCAATGATTTCTTTTGCAGAAATAGAAAAGTCTATACTAAAATTCACATGGAGTCTCAAGGAATCCCAAATAGAAAAATGATATTGAAAAGGAACTAAGTTATATAAGTCTCACACTTCCTGATCAAAACTTACTTCAAAGCTATAGTAATCAAAACAGTGTAGTACTGGTATAGACAGACATATGATTCAATGGAATAGAATAAAAAGCCCCGAAATAAACCCTTACATATGTGGTCAAGGGACTTTCAACAATGTGCCAAGACCATTCAATAAAGAAAAAAGTATTTTCAACAAACGGTGTTGAGAAAATTGGGTATCCAAATGCAAAAGAATAAAGTTGAATCTTACCTTACTTAAAAATTAACTAAAAATGTATCAAGAACCTAAACGTAAGAACTAAAACTATAAAACTCTTAGAAGAAAATAGCCCAGCCAGCATGGCTCAGTGGTTGAGTATCAACGTATGAACCAAGAGGTCACAGTTCAATTCCCAGTCAGGACACATGTCCTTATTTGCAGGCTCCATCCCCAGTTTGGGGTGTGCAGGAGACAGCTAATCGAGGATTCTTTCTTATCATTGATATTTCTATCTCTCTAAACTTATCCTTCCTCTCTGAAATCAATAAAATTAAAACAAAAACAAAACCATAGGGGAAAACTACATGACACTGAATTTGGTAAAAATATCTTAAGATATGCAAGGCAACAAAAGTAAAAGTAGATAAATTGGACTATGTCAGAACAAAATTTCTGTACCTCAAAGGACACAATTTACAGAGTGCAAAGGCTACCCGTCGAATGAGAGAAAATATTTGCACACCATATATCTGATAAGGAGTTATCATCCAGATTATGTCAAGAATTACAACTCAATAACAATGAAGACAACCTAATTTAAAAATGGGCAAAGAACCTGAATAGACATTTCTCCAAAGGAGATATACAAATGATCAATAAGCACATGAAAAGATGCTTAACATCACTAATCACTATAAAAATCCAAATCAAAACCATCTCACACCCATTAGAATGGCTACCATCAAACAAACAACAACAACAACAAAAACACACACAAAGAAACAGAAAATAACAAGTGCTGGAGAGGATGTGAAGAAATGGGACCTCTTGCATTAGTTGGGGAAAGAGTAAGTTGTGGAGGCGCTATAGAAAACAGTATGGCAATTTCTCAAATAATAAAAGTAGAATCACCATGTGATCCAGCAACTCCACGTCAGGGCATATATCCAAAAGAACAGAAAACAGGATATCAGATATTTGCGCACCAATTATTATGAAGCATTTTTCAAAGTAGCCTAAAGGTAGAATCAATCAAAGTGTCCAGCCACAGATGAATGAATAAACCAAATGTGGTATATACAGACAATAGAATATTACTCATAGCTTTAAAAAGGAAGGAAATTCTGACACAGGATACACCATGGATGAACCCTGAGGACATTGTGCTAAGTGAAATAAACCAATCATAAGGAATAAGTACTGTATGATTCCACTTATATGAAATAGTAACTAGAATAATCAGATTCATAGAGACAGAGTAGAATGGTGGCTGTCTGTGGTTAGGGTCAGAGGGGATGGGGATTATTGTTTAATGGGTACAACGTACAAAGTTTCAGTTTTGTAAGAAGGAAAGTCTTCTGGAGATGGATGGTGGTTGCACAACAATATAAACGTATTTAATGCCAGTGAACTATACACTTAAAAATGGTTAAGATGGTAAATTTTATGTTACATGTATTTTCCACAAATGTTAAAATTAATAAAATTTTAAAAAAGTGTTGATGATGCACAACAGGAAATTTTGAACGTTAATTCATATAACGAATCCTGACATCAAATTTTGGTGTTAATAGGAATGGTAGCAGAATTATTTTGTAGTGATATGACAGTTGAAGACAATAACATTCTAATTTACATCAGACTATGAATATGGCTTAATTTTTAGAAAAAGATATTATCTCATATCAAAAATTGCATAGTAAGTAATTAAAATCTATCACATTTATAGATTGATAAAAACATATTATATCCATAAATTTAAAAATGTGTTTGTATAAAACTTAATAAATTTTCATAATTAAAAAAAAGTCTATTGCAGTGAAGTTTTCCAAATCCTCCTGACTCTTTTTTTTTTTTTGCTATCAAAGTATTCAAATACTCTTCTAATAGTGCACGTATGGCATACTAATTAGAATGATCAGTGTATATGTCTGTCCCCACGACAGAAGAAGCATCATATAAATCCTTGTTACCCACACACCTAACTCAGTGCTATGAAAGGAGGTTCTAAGTAAATTCTGGCTGAAAAACAGAAAGAAAAATTAGGCCTGAGCTGTGGATGCTTAAGTCTCAGAGCATATTTCTGAGCAGGTCTGAGGGTGGGGCCGCCTTGAACTCTAAAAGGATACCGACTGGCTCTGAGCGGGGTGCAAGATGGAAGTTTTAAGTGTCACAGAAATTCTTCCTGCCTCTCCTTATGCCCCAGGTGCTAACTGAGAGGCCTGCAAGAGCCAGAGGCAAGAGGAAGAGGGAAAAGAAAGCAGGCCGAGGGTGAAGAAAAACAACCTCTAGGAGTTCCACCCTAAAGACAACCAGGACACGGTTGGCACAAGTCAGCCAAGAGAGGGGTCGGGACACTGTTACTGTAGGGCCAGAGAGTATTTCAAGCTTTGAGGGCCATGGAATCTGTCTCAGCTACTCCACCTTGTCATTGTGGTACAAAAGCCACCGTAGACAATATGTAAATGAACAAGTATTGCTGTGTTTCAACAAAAACTTACTTTTGAAAAGAAGTGGACCCAATTTGGTCCACGGACCATAGTTTCCAGACCTCCTCCTAGTTCTTACTCCTCAAATACGGTTCAAGGACCAGCAGCATTGACGCCACAGGAGAGCTTGTTAGATCTGCACAATCCTAGACACCACCCAAGACCCTCAGAGTCAAAATCTCATTTTACAAAATGCCCAGCAGATGGGAGCGGCCAGGCCCGGGGGAGCAGCCGGGGCTGGTGTGGCCAGGCCCGGAGCAGCGGCTGCCAGGCTGGGAGCGGCCAGGCCAGGGGGAGCAGCCGGGGCTGGTGTGGCCAGGCCCGGAGCAGCGGCTGCCAGGCTGGGAGCGGCCAGGCCCGGAGCAGCAGGAGCCAAGTCCAGAGCAACTAGGTCGGGAGCGGCAGTGACCAGACCCGGAGCAGCTGGTTGTGGAATGAACCAGAGCAACAGAGGCCAGGCCCTGAGCAGCCAGGCCCGGAACAGCTCACTCCTTGCCTGCCCCTGCCCCACGGCTGCCCCTCAGACATGGCTGGAAACTTTCGTGGGAACTTGAGGCCAAAAAGTCCCAGGTTCAATTCTTATCAAGGGCACATGCAGGAGGCAATCAAGTGATGAAGGCTTAGATCTGGATGTGTTGAGTTAGTATAGGGCTGGGGTGTTGATCTGTGAGTGCCTTGGGTGGGGCCTGGATGAGGCTGGTGGACCTATTGGGAAATGTCTTTTGTGTGAAGTGTATCATTGGGCATGTGGAGGTATTATTGATATGAGAAAATGCTAAGTAACTGATTTACTATCTGAAAAGGGATTTACTATTGGGGAAAGGGAGGGAAGAAGAGACTGAACATAAACTCTGCACCTATGGATGAGGACAATGGGGGATGGGGAGGGGTCGGAGGGTGGGGTGGGAACCTGGTGGAGGGGGGAAGAAATGAGGAACCTTTGTAATAATATGAACAATAAAGATTGATAAAAAAAAAAATAAAAAAAATTCCCAGCAGAGCTTGCCCAGTAGGTGTGTGATCCACT